TTAGTTTCCTTTTTTAGACAGGTCAGGTCAGGTCAGGTCAAATGTATATTTAATTCAGGTCAATTTTATGTCTGACCTGACCTGACTTTATCAGGTCAGATCAAGTCAATTACCCGACCTGACCTGATCTGTTCAGAGCTCTAGTTCTGATAGAATGATGATTTATCATTCTATTGGAATGATTTTTTTGTATTATTTCTTTAGAATGATCTTTATCGTTCTATTGGAACGATTTTTTGTATCGTTCCTTTAGAATGACCTTTTATCATTCTTAAGAAATGATTTTTTTATTGTTCTGATGGAATGATGATTTATCATTCTATTGGAATGATTTTTTGTATTGTTTCTTTAGAATGATCTTTATCGTCCTATTGAAACGATTTTTTGTATTGTTCCTTTAAAATGACCTTTTATCATTCTTAAGGAATGATTTTTTATTGTTCTGGTGGAATGATAATTTATTGTTCTATTGGAATGATTTTTTTGTATTGTTTCTTTAGAATAATCTTTATCATCCTATTGGAATGATTTTTTGTATCGTTCCTTTAAAATGACCTTTTATCATTCTTAAGGAATGATTTTTTTATTGTTCTGATAAAACGATGATTTATCATTCTATTGGAATATTTTTTTTGTATCGTTTCTTTAGAATGATCTTTATCATCCTATTGGAATGATTTTTTGTATTGTTCCTTTAGAACTATCTTTTATTGTTCTTAAGGAATATTTTTTTGTATTGTTCCTTTAGAATGATTTTTTATTATTCTTGAGGAATGATGCTTTTAATCATTCCTTTAGAATAATTCTTCTATTGTTCTACCAGAATGATCCTTCTATCATCCTTTGGAATGATTCTTTATCGTTAGGAGATAAAATTACGAAACTCGCTAAGAATTTGCGATTCTTTAAGAGTATCGCTAAATTTTTTGTAAAGTAAATGACTAAATGATAAATGATTTAAATGATCTTAAATGATCTTGATCATTTATCATTTATCATTTAGATCATTTGCGAGATGACAAATGCTAAATAATTTATGATTATGACAAAGGAATAAACAAATCATTTAAATGGTCAAATGACCAGGTTATTTCTGAACACTACCTATACGAACTCATAGTAATATTAGCTTTATCCTAAAAAATATTTCAAACTGATCTTGTATTTCTTGAGTTAGACATGAGTTATGAAAAACTTTGACTTTTTGAAGAGAAGCGTATTCTGGACCATTAATTTTAGCAAATTTTCTTGCAGTATTTATTGAATGGAACGAAATCTATAAAAGACTATTATTAATATAATTATTTAAAATAAAATTCTATTTCTACTAGCATAAGAAGCAAATGAATGATATTTACTTCAAGCTTTTCTTGTAAATCATGATATGTAAACTCTTACATAATAATAGAAAAGATATGACACTTTCTATCAGCATCATTTTTATTTTTTTCATAACTTTTAGCAAAATAATTCCAAAATAACTTTGCTAGATATTTGATATTTATTGGATGTGGGTTCAAAAATCCAGATTGATAAAGATCTTTTACATGTACTTGATCAACTATAGGATCCACAGATTTCATTTAAAATTTGTATTTGTTTATTGAATATGTTATTCCAAAATATTAGTAAAGCAAATCTATACAAATAGAAATTATAAATTATAACTCACAGAAGATATATCATTACTAAAAGGTATGATATTTGCACAACCAGCTACTCTTAACATTGAATTCCAAGCTTGTAGTTTCTGTTTGTTGAAAATTTAATTTTAGGGTATATTAATTTTAATGATATCATTAGTTCAATGCTATTATTTGACCTATTAGTAAAAAATTATAGCCAATCTGCCACCTTTATAGTTCTTCTTTTAAGATAGTAATCATATAATGATGTCATAACGCTTTTATTACTCTATTGTTCAGGTTTGCAGGTTGATACTCAAAATTGTTACAATAAATGTTACATTATAAGATGTTCAAGTCCAAATAAACTTGATCTACTTAACTTTCCTAATATTTTAGCTTTATTCTAAACTTTTACAGGCGTATTACTCATATATTCGAATAATGTGATATTTTCATGCCATATTTGAATAACACAATCATTTTCTCTTATTTTTTGAATAAAAACACATCATTTTTGAGAATACTTATGAATAAATGAAGATATATAGTCTGGACTTACTCCTAAATAATTTTCATTTGTAGATACATTCAACCCATATATTATAATTGAATAATTATCAATTTAAATTGTAATGGATGAAAAGGAATATTTATAAGTAACTGATCTATAATTTCTTTATTTTTTATGTCAAATACTAAGTTTTCAGAATAACACATGAAATTTTTGAATATTTGTTGATATAATTTACATATTACTTGAAAGGGTAAGTTTCAATATCACTACTGAGTTATTTGCTTTGACAAACATAACCGGGGCTTCCAAACTTTTCAGTTACTTGTATTGTAAAAGTTTCTATTATTAAGTTCTACCTGAGTTTTCATTCCTACGCAAATAGGAACTAAAAAATTTACTTTCAGAACATTTTTATAGTTTGTTTTTTCATCATTTTTACACGTTTATACTATTGTTATATTATGATACTAATGACTGAAAATTAGTATTAACGCAAGATTAACAAAGGATTTAGCTTTAAAACTTTATAATGCGATTTATGAAGAGCTTCTGAAGGTTTATCGATCAAATGTATTTTAAGTTAAGTATGATTTATGAGTTAAGTAATTTAGAGTTTTATTAGATAAAACTAAGTAAATTCTCTGTCATTTATGAAGTTCTAAAGCTACCCTATTTATAAGAAATTTGATAATATAAATAAATAAATAAAGAAATATAAAATATTTATCGATTATTAATGTTAATTAATTATTAATGAAAAAAAATGTTCTGGCATTTTCTAGGTTTTCACGTAACTTTACTTCTAAGATATCTGCTATTTCTCAGATATCTAGCATATATTATATTTCTGGCATATTGCGCAGAGCTGTCAGAACTGGCAGATATAGCAGATACTTAGCATAGTAGATCAGGTGATTTATTCTATTGTCATATGATTTGCAGTTGACTATTCTATTACACCATAATGTAAGTGAAAAACAAGTTCTCTGGTTAAATTAAGTTTTATTAGTATATCACAACGTTTTGACATTGAGGACATTGAGATTTATAGGATATATAAAAAAGGTATAATTAATTAACCTGAGTATCAATTAGTAGCCTATATATAGTGATCTGCATATAATCAATAGATCACGAATTAATTGTTTTTATAATAATTAATTTATAATAAATTAGCTAATAAATCTTATTATTATAATTTGGTTTTCTTTTAATTAAAGAATATCTCAATATGAATATAATTTCTATATCAGCAGATTTTCCTAATTAATTATTTATTTATTGATCTATAATACACAAATTAACTTTAGGTAAAAAATAACAATTCTGTATCAAATTATTCAGTTAGTATTAATATTTAGATTTCTTCATATTTATCTAAATACAGTCGTTCTCTTTATAGTCACACCCTTTAGGATCAAAAATAAAAAGTGTGATTATAATAAAAAGTTACTATACAGGGGGATTTTTATTTGTTGTTACTAAGGTTGTTGGACGAAATCAAAAGTTTAGACAGACGTCTAAATGGAAAAAGTAAAACTTGGTTAAATTATATTAAAACCTTATTAAAAAATCTGCAAAATTCAGAAAAGGTAAAACTATATCAAAGCTTATAAAAATGGCGAAACTATATTAAACACTTAGTAAAAATTTAGCGAAACTAAAGGTTTTATCATTTTGCCAAATCCAAAATGAGTTTAGACAAGCAACCTTAGTTGGTACTAAGCGTTGGTTCTGAAAGGGTATGACTATAAAAACACTGTGATTATAATGAGTTTTTTTATATTGCATTAATAGGTATTAGTTCTTACGAAATGTATGCTTATAATAAGGGATTTATATAATGTGATTGTACAGGAGATGACTATAGAAAAGGATGACTGTACTAGAGAAATATGTCTTTTAGGATATTATTCTTTTTAATTGACTTTACAAACACATTTTTAATAGAAAAATAATTTGGCTGCTAAACCAAAGTCATAGTAAATTAATCTTTTACTTTTTCTTGCATATTTAACATGGGAGATTATTAAAAAATATATTTTTATATAATCTGATTGATTAAAAGATTTGGCATATCAGACATTTGTAAATTTATTAGATAATATAATATCTGCAACATTAGATATTTATTTTGAAATAATTATTTTGATTTATATATAGAAACAATTTTTAGACTTTTGATAGTAACATTACAATTTCAATGACATAATTATGATAAAATTATATTAGCTTTATTATCAGATATTAAATGTTAGAAAAAAATTGATCATTCAATTATAGTTGTATTACAATTACATTTATTTTTATTTGATGAATATTCTGTTAAGAACTTTCATAGTTTAGTTCATCGACATATAATAGCTAAAGTATTAAAACTAAAAAGCTTCAAAATGATAGATTATTTATTGATTATACACAACATCAACAGGATTTTATTAAATTGTTTGTTAATAAACACAACTATTCAAATAATAAAAAAATTTGAATATTTTAATTATACAATCTGCAATTTATTACAACTATTTGATAAAATTTGTGAAAATCAAAGACAAGAGGTTATAAAATTAGAAGGCACTAGAAATCCAAAACCATTTTATTATTTTCCATCATTTGAAAAAAGATTTCTATTAGATACTATTCCTTTACTAAATAACTACCTAATTTTAACAAATTTTGTGATGCTGAAAATTATACAAATAATTATATTGAAAATTAAAAAGTACTTATTTGTAAATATGTTTATCATCAGCATTGTTTTGCTATTATAGGTTTTAAATGTATGTACTGTTATAAATTTTTATCTGAATCAATTGATTCATTAGTTCAATTTTATAATGAACATCTTCATTTAAATGGAAATATCAATGATGAATTTAATAATATAATTTCTAATATTGATGATGATGATGGAATTATAGAACCAATAGTAATTTCTAATCAAATAGAAAATGATTTACAAAAAGCAAACAATGGTAATATCTTAATATTTTATTAATAATATTAATGATATAAATCTAATTTTTTTTTTTAGATTTTATTCAAAAATTCTCTAAATCACGAAATGAACCATTAATAGAAGAAACTTTATTACAAAATACCCAAATCCCACTTACTAATATTACAAATATTAATACTATTAATTCAAATAATATTTCTGAATTTTTTGAAAATAGCAATTTAAAAAGTTCTAAAACAAATATGTTTTATGAAACAAGTTTAAATATTCTAGAATGGACAGATCAGAATACAATTGAAATAAAATTTATTTCGTGATCTACAATTTTTATGATTAAATTTGATTGGATAATTACTATTTTTGAGCCATGTGTACATGGTCACATTTTCGCTTTTGATCCATAAGTCACGTGAGTATCCATGGTAATTTGTACACAAGCAAAACTTGCGGATTCTGTGGCTATGTTCATGAAAAACTAGGCGGATCCAAGGAATTTTGCTGTCCCCAATGTAAAAGAAATCTTTATAGAGATATAAATGGTGCTCGTAATATTCTCTTATGATATCTTACAAAAAAGGAAAAGGAGTCAGCTTAGGCTGACGCGGGAGCCTATTCCCTTACATTGCCTAATTTAAACTTTGCTTAATGTGGGTTTTTTTTGTAATGATAGGTTTTAATGTAGGCGTTTAGGTAACGATTTTATGTACATTCGAAAAACTTTTATTTAAATTAATAAAGTAGAAATGAAATAATTTCCATATTATAATATATATATTTGCCTTTAAATAAATGAGTAGGAAAAAAAAAACTAACGTATAAATAAATATGTAATATTTACTAATGAAAATACAATAATAAAATGTGATTAAATAGCTCAATCTTTCTTTTTTTTTTTTTTATCGTCAAAGATGATTGGATGGTGAATTTCATTCTAATATATTATAATCGTTCAATTTCCTTTTCCCAAATATAATGAATAAAAATACAATAAAAATATTTATAATGGGAAATCCACATCAATATTCAATAACTTTCTTTAAAATGACATTAAATGTCATATAAGTTTATCATCTTGTACATTGCCTAGAATCCATTTTAAATTTAAAGGATTAAATTGGTTAAATGAATTTGCTGTAGTGGATACTACGGCGGAAGAAACTTCGGGTGAAAAATAATCTTGGTACCACTGAGTTGATGACGTATCTTCTCCATCAGGGGAATAATCATCTGTTGTCACAAAATTTGGATATAATGGAGATACGGATGTTGGTAAAATCCACACTCTCTTTGCGGTAGAATGTTTATTATCCGATAAGCTTTTATCCATCTCTATCGTTGTTGTAGACGTTGTTGTCCTTATTTCATCCACTAAATCATCACCCGGTTCACAATAGCAAAGGTCACCTTCTTTTGTTTCACAAAATATCGGATCTCTAATTATATTGTCAATTGTATCAATTGAAGGTAGGCCACACGAAATTTGTGACGTTTGAGTGTCTAATCGATTAAACGAAAAGGATGAAGTTATTGGTGATGAGTTTGTTGTAAATGTCGTAAAACATTCACCGCTTTGAGATTGTTGATCATCACAGTTTGTGGGTGAGTTATATCCAATGTCTTCATTGTTATTGTTTATGTTATCATCACCATCATCATCATCATCATCATCAATATTACTAGCAACATTGTTTATCTTGTCATTTTTACCAGAATTATTAGCGATGGAATGATTACAACAATTTATTCCTTCCTCGTCAGCGACTTGTTTTTCCTTTTTACCAGAATTATTAACGATGGAATGATTACAACAATTAATTCCTTCCTCGTCAGCGACTTGTTTTTCCAAGAGTGCAACCTTTTCTTTCAATGATTCGATTTCTTCTTGTGCATCTTTAAATAATTCTTCATATTCTGAAGCTCTAGTTTCCAAACTACGAATATAAAATTCCCTTCGTTGACGAAAAGCTCGTTGATTGATTAAGTTTTGAATATGTTTTTTCTAATGAATGGAAAATTCAAAGTTGGTCGTCCATTTTTTATTGTAATTTATGATGATTTTTTAATCCTTTTGAGTACTTACGGTTGTAGGCATCGAAGATAACGGTTTACGTCCACGCTTATTTGATGGTTTGTTTGTAGGTTGTTGAATTCTTTTATTTATGTCATCAGTTTGTTGCGTTGCTGATGATTGTTAAAGGTGAGATATTTCGTTTGGCTAAATAAAGGTGAGAATAGAGTTAAATTACTTACCATCTGAAATATAAGGATGAGTTGAAGTGGGAAGTCTGGGAATAGGTAACTTTAAAGGTTGTGGAGTAGAAGATATATTCATTTTTATTTTTTTACCGATATATTATATAAAAAAAAATTCAAGAAAAGAAATTTATGAAGGAAAAAAAAATACGTAACAGTGTTTTGAAAGGATATTTATGAGTAATATCGGATGCTTTATCAGTGATTATCGATGTTTCTGGTAATACTAATAAAAAAGTTTTTTTTTTGTTTGAAAGAAATCAAAAAAAAAATAGGGGGAAAAGTCAAAAATTTATAAATATTGTGTTTACGTATGACAACTAAATTGTGGATCAGCTTGGACTTTAAACGCCATCTTTTTTAAAAAAATGGATGCGCCATATGCATATAATACGCAAGTATTTCAATGAGATTTTTTTTTTCCTTTTTTCCTTCCATTTATTAATAGAGGAATTGATAAAGAAGGTTAATTATTGTTTTACTCAAAATCCAAAACATATATTATTTTAAAAGGATAAGTAAAAAAGATTCTGTAAATTGATTATCATTTCCATTTTATACCATCACGGGACGTCATGCGATTGCTGATTGTGGAAAGTTGCAGAACTTTATTCTGGTACACCTTAAGTATATTATACTTACTAATCACAGATTACCACGCAGAACGGTGAAATGATAGAAAGTTAATTCTTAGATTTGCCAAGTTCAAACGCCATTTTTTCTTTACGAATTAAAAACGTGAAATTGGGATACAAATTAAATGTCCTCAAACAAAAAAATCTTAATACTATAATATATATAGGTTTAAAAACAATACCATTTTCTAAAATGTTCTTGATAAACATTATTGACTTGGTATAAAGAAGGTATATGTGATTTGTATGTCTAATATATAATAATATATCTTTCTGCGGAACGGTAATGTGGCGTAGTAAAAGAAGCTATTTTAATGTCGCGTGATCTCGGGCTTGCGGACATGGCCGGAGCATCACTACCTGATTGTTTACGTTACAAACGAATTTCGAAAAAATAAATCATTAAAGTAACACATCCATAAATTTAGATTTTGTAGTTACACAAATAATAAATAACATTTGCTATTTATCTTAATTTATAAATATTTGATCCTTATCTTTATATTTTCATAAGTTATTAAAAGTCCTTTTGGATTGGGAATGGGGAAAGCTTAATAACAAGGTTATTGAGGAACGTATTTATTTCCTTGGAGCGTATGAAAATTGAGAAGCTCGTCATTGTTTCAGTGAATATTAAATTAAGCACTCAAACGTATAATTTATACGATGCAAACTTTTCTTTTTTTTCTCGTTTCGAAATTTCAGAGTCATTCCACGTCAAAGAAGTTATAATGTTAAAATGACAATATTTTATTTATATTATATAATGATAATTACAATGATAAGGATGACATTCAAAGAATCTTATTATTCATGTTTCAATTTTGAACCAAATTTCTTTAAACCAAATCTAATTAACCTAAATGATAACCACATTATTCCTCCTCCAATTCCAAAAATCAAACCTAATAAAGTTCCATAAACATCATAATTATTTCCTCTAATAAATCCCATTCTAGCATCAGCGGGAATCCATTCCTTTAAAAATTCTTCGCTAGAACTATTACAATTCAAAACATATTCAATTAAATCAGCGGCATGATACTTCCTTTTACTGTTAAATTTAGTTAAAACTTCTAATCTCTTTGAATTTGCCTTTACATTCTCATCATTTAATAAAAATTCAATCTTATTCAATATATCATTAACATCCAAATGAAGTTTATTTAATTTTAATGCAATACCGGCCAATTCCAATTTTTCGGAATTACCTAATTGATCACCAGTGACAGGTAAAACCAACATTGGTGTACCAGTAAATAACGATTCATGAGTGCTTCCAGCTCCCCCGTGACTGAAGAATAACTTGGTGTTGATATGATTAAGTATAGAAAATTGTGGTGCAAATTTTGTTAGGAGAAAATGTGGATGTTCGTTATTTCGAATTGGTAAGGTTGGAACGCGTGTGCCATCCGTTAGGTTTAATGTGGAATCAAAATCATCCGCAGAGGTTCGAACTAATGCCCAAATCACTCCGTCAATTATGCCCTTGTTGATGGATTCGATAAAGGATTGTAAAAGTATGTTATTGTTTTCGACGGTTGTGTGGATATTTGTACCAAGAGCTACGAATAACACTCGTTTATGCTCATTCATAAAGTCGGTGATTTCGGGTGTAAGTGGTGGATATTTATCTGACAATACCGGTCCTATTTCCTATTAATTCAAACGAAAGGGTATTAATTTCGTCAATTTCTAAATTGCTTTTGCTAATCTTGTCAAAATTAAAAAAAATTTTAATTAATTAATTACCCGAATATTTGGTGGTAAGGATTGAGGTAACTTTTTCAAATAATTTAAATAAGGTTAGATTAAAAAATGCAATTAAATAAACCTTAAATTATTTTAAAACAAAATAATAAAATGTTGATTACCTCAAAACCAAAGTAAGTATCAGCTAATAACAGGGAAGTTGTTGATAATCGATCCTTTGACATAAAGTTGTGTCCATTTTCTCTTTTCATTTCATAAAGGGTTTGAAGCGGATTTATTATGGTACATCTGAACCTTTCCAAAAATGAATCGTTTTCTAATGAAACATTGCAATCGAACATTGGATCTGATTTGTATGTATTAGATGCCATTCCTATATATATCAAAAGGATGGTTTATTATTTATTAACTTACTTTAAAGATCTTTTCTTTTCTTAAAATAAATAAATAAATAAATAAATAAATTTATTTATTCATATTTACCAAGAAGGAAGGAACTAAATCCAACAACAGGCTTCTTCAGAATGTAAGCAGCATCTACACAAGCATCATTTATCATTATGTCACAAAAAAACAAATCAACATTATAATCTTTGGCCGCATTTTTATAAATTTCAAAACTTTCGGGATACATTTTTAAAGCGAATTTGGTCATGAAAATTAATTGTTTTATATCAAATTTTTTATGAATTAAATCATCCATTTTTATTCCATTATTCTGTACCAAATCTTTCAAATCATGCCCTAATGAAATATGTTTAACGGTAGGGTATTCTGAAGATAATAATTTATTTCCTCGCGTTACTAACATTACCTATGTATTATAATTGTATAGGTGATTGGTAAGTTAGAAAGAAGATCGACTAAAAGGGAAAAAAAATTGCTTACATTGTGGCCTCTTTCAATTAATATCGCGCAAATATCCAACATAGGCTTAACATGGCTCCTTCCTCCAACGAAAGAGCCAATCATAATATTTTTAGGAATACGATCCATATCAAAATCTATAGGTATATAATTTGAAAGGTCATCATTATTTGTCGTCGCGGCATTAACTTGGATGTAAAAAACCAAGAAAAGTATCGATAATAATGATAATAATAATGCAAATTTTTTTTGTGTCATTTTGTTGTTCAAAGTATTATTTTTTTAAATTTATGTTTTGAAATTATTATTTATTTTTCTTTCTTAAAAAAAAAAACGGAGGAAAAAAATAAACTTATTTATATATGTTAAAAATTATATATTTGCTCGGCAAATTTAAATTTTTATGCGTTATAATTTTCCCGAAAACCCCAAAATAACTATGAAGAATACTGTATTCTCCAATCATGTATGTTTAATCATAAGATGGAAATTTTCTCGGCTACAAATTTTGTGCGAAGTCAATTATATGTTATCCCGAAAATTCCGGTAATTATTTCATTGCCGATCCGTATGTGATCGATAGTAAAATGTGGCGCAGTTTTCTTATATAACAATGTTAATCATCATTTTGTATTACAATAAAACAATACCGTAGAGCACTGACTATACTACCCCCCTGTGTAAACTACCCCCCCCCCCCAAGGTTTTGGGCTGAAATTTTGTAAAAACCCCGGGTAGTACACATTTGAGATTGTTTTTTTTTAGCTGAATTTAATAAATTATCAATAAAAATATATATCAAACAAGTCAAAAGCAAATTATCTTTATTCAAAATTATAATTTTATACAAAATAAATGAAATTAAGTGAAATTAAAGATTATTCCAATTATTATACTCGATTTCGTCATTATCATTATTTTCTTCATCATTTTCATCTGATAACTTATTTTCTTTTATAATCAAAAATCATATCATCTTCCGAACTATCAGTTTTAACTGAAATTCCACAACATTTAAATGATTTACAAATCAAATTTAAATCAACCTTCTCCCATGCATTTTTTACCCATGAAGATACCAAAGAATATGATGGTTTTTTGATACGTCCAGCCGGAGTTAGATCATGAACTTCATTTGTCATCCAATCATTATAAAGTTCACAAACCTATATATTAAAAAAAAAGAAAATTTTAATTTTTTTAATTCATATTGTAATAAAGATAACAGTAAATTAATAAATGATACTTACATTAGATTTAAAGCTTTTATTAACTGCTATATCAAGAGGTTGCAATCTAGATGTTAATCCATCAGGAATTACTACAATATTAGTATGAACTTCATTCAATTTTTGTTTAACAGAATCAACTAAATGATCACGAAAAGAATCTAAAACAAAAAGAGATCTAGGATTTAATAATTGATCAGGAGTTCTTTTAAACCAAATATTATTAATCCACCAGATCATTTCTTCTTCATTGGCCCATCCTTTTGCATTAGTTCTAATAAATATATTATTAGGAAAATCTTCTCGAGGTTTATTTTTCAATTTAAAAATAATAACAGGAGGTAGTTTTGACCCATCAGCCATACAACCTAACATAACTGTAAACATATTTCTTTCATATTCTGTAGTTTTAATACTAATAGTATTAGAATCACACTTTTCTAAAGTATAAGAATTAGGTAAGTCAAAAGCAATAGGAGTTTCATCCATATTTGCAATACATTGAAATGGATAATCATGTTGGATTCTTCTATAAAGAACAAAACTTAAGAAATTCTGTTGTTTTTAAAGCAAATCCTCTGGTAAATGTTGAGATACTGTTGTTCTTCGCCTATTTGAAAAATCATAACAGACCATAAAGCAATCCATCTATTTTTGTGAAAATTTGAATAAAGAAATTGTAGGATACTTTTCTTGATATGTTTCAGTTTGTGAAAGCTCTTTGGCTTTTTTTGTTGCCATGTTTCTAGTGACTGGTAAACTTTGTACATAACAACTAGTGATCCATTCTGCTAATTCTTGTTTTAATTCTGGAAAAAAAGGTTGTCTGCCAGTATGTAATTTTAATAAATGAGATGCTGAAGACTTTAGTTGATCTTTTTTTTTCTCCAATCACGAACTTGGCTTAGTTCCAAACCAAAATGTTTTGCTATTGCATGAATACTATTTGAACATTGCAAATAATACAAAACTATTAACTTCTCACGTACGCACCACTGCAGTCTTTTTTTAAAGTAACTCTAGAATGTTTAGACTTTTGGTTACCTTTAACAACCATTTTTTTAAAAAAAAAATTGTGAAACACGATACAAGTGAAACGTAATAAAAAATATGCGAAAAATTTAATGGTACTTATAATATACAGTATATTATATATTATATATATTAATCTACATATTACATATATTCTGATTAAAAAACCCTTTCCTATCAAAATACTCCTAATTAAACTATCTGGATACTTTACAAAATTGGGGGTGGATTTGTAAAAAACCCAGGGTAGTTTAGTCAGTACCCTATGGTAATTATTTGTTATACAATTTTGTAATTTACAATTATAATTGTACGTCAAAGATCTTAAAAAAGCAAACTCGTTAAAAAAACCATTTATTATATTATAGTTTATGAAGTTTATATGGAGGAAAGGAAGATTTCATAATAGTTTTATTGATATAGAATGCTAATACCATTTCGAAAAAATACTTCACAAAGGCTTTAACCTTTTTTTTAGCATTTATTAGGCTGCCTTTGATTAATACTACCTTCGGTAACTGTTGTGCTTTGATTATTCTTCATATTTTTCACCAATACCTTTTCTGACGCTTCCTTTTTGAAATTAGCACTATATTTTTCTATCTAACCTTTTATAGTTTTCACTGTCGGTATTTCTTCTAAAGTGAGTTCTCCTTCTGCAGCTAATTCTTCTAAACAGGAATGCATACTTTCAGGTGAATAGCGATCTGCAGCTCTTAAATTTCTGGCTAAAAAAAACCTTGTAAATACTGAATAACCTTTTTTATTATATGTTTTTCTTCACCTTTATTCCCAAGTTTTAGATTCTCTTTCAAAGCCTATCCTTTATTGTGAGGAAATTCTTGATCAAGGCTATAGAATTTATTGTTTAATATTTTACAAGTCTAGAATAAAACAATGATAATGTTACCATTACCCTACGGACATATTATAGAGTATATGAGAATATACTAAAATATGAGAAAGGTATGTTTATAATTAACAATAACAACTTACCTGATTTATTGCTTTTCTCATTAATTTCATTTGCTATCTTATTTATTGGTAACTCCAAATCTTATAGATAATATAACTTTAGTTTGCTGATTTCAAAAATAAAATAATTATTCTGAATAACCTATTTTTTATTAGAAATCAGTATTATCTAAAGAGTACGTGATTCATTTAGCTCTGAAATTATTGGAGATAGTCTGTGGGTTATACCGCAAAGATTAGCAATTTGCGTAAAAGAGAAATCAATCCATTTGCCAATATTAGGAAGAGAACGCGTGCGAATGTATCTAGCAAATTGTCCTATTACAGGCTAACTCCATTCAAACCACTTTGAGATTCTGGGTATAGTTTTAGATTTTTTTCATTAGCATTTTTTGATTTTTGATTAATTCTATATATATAATTAAAAATAAATACATTTAGATGCATTTTTGTTTATTTTTTTCACCAGCACTCTATTGTTTTATCATATTTCATTAATTATAAATAAATATTGTTTTACGGATAAATTTAGATTTTTTGCATTCTATTTATTCTATTTTTATATTTTTTATTTACAAATAAAAATTTCGAAACAATTTTACACTATTGATTTAAATATATTCTATTTTTATTAAAATAAAATTCTTACCTCGAATTTGCTTGTTCTGAATTATCTACTTGATCACGATTTGGTTCTATACGAGATACCAATGTTCCACTTAGATCTTGAAGTACTGTCTCAATATTTTTCTCCTTAGTAAGATCACATCCAATTCTGACATACCTCTTAATTGCATGTGCATTCTGTAATTATTTACTTAAAATTAGGAAAATGTAAAATAATCAACAAAAACATTATTTACCATTGCATGATAAGAATCTACAGTAGTTTTTGCCTCTCCTAGTTTAAGAAAAATCCATTTACGCACTTCTATATTATATCAGTCATACCAATGGCTAATAATTGTCATTAATTCTGAGTTGTAATAATGGCTTCCATTGTCTGAAATAATTTTAATCCAAAGGGGTTTAGGATCCATTGTCATGAATACTGACTTAAAACATAATGCCATAAACCAGACGTTCTGTTTTGTATCTGAACTCCAATGATCATAAGCTTGAATATCTAGTTTCTCATTATTGTTTTTATTTTTTTGAAATATTAGGGTTGTATGGAGAGTCCATCCACACTTTTCAAAAAATTCACTTTTTGTTTCCCAAGCTGTTGCAGGTAAAATTCGCATTTTGTAATCAACCACAATAATAGCCCTACTACTATCTAACTCACGTAAGGTAGAATTGAATTGAGCATTTAGATAGGCCTTACGAGTCTGATGTGCCAAATAATACGTTAATTGTTCTTGATATTCTAAAAGTTTAGAATGATAGATGGTATTAAGTTGATTGATAAGATCCTTAAATACATTGAAAATTTTATCATACTCTTGACACTGGTAAAAATGTTATTTTTTGCATTTTTCAAATGCAAACAATAAACAATGATTGATATAATCTACATGATCAGTTGTACCATTTTCATTTACAAATAATTCCCCTTCATAATTTCACTTTAGATGATGATGTAAGCATTCTAATTTGTGAATTAACTGATCCTATAAAAGAAGTTGTATATAAGTATATAATAGTATTATAATTGATAATAAAAATAATAAAAATTCAATCAATAGTTAATACGAACCCTTTGAATTTTATTATTAAAAAAATTTGTAGTTACTAATTCAATCAAATTTTCAAAAGGATGATATCCATAATCATTACATATTATACATAATCCTCCCAAATCTTTTCTATATTTAAAGTAACTATTTTGTAAGCAGAACATAAAAGAAATATGCTTCATTCTATCAGGATAAGTAGCGGAAAATTTTTTCT